ATTAAGCCGGGGGAGGAGCTTAGCATAAAGTATCTGATAAGCAAAAACATGCCCTAATGGGCTCTTGACAAGGATGGAATCTATGATCTGACAGTGACCTCCTGATTTCCATTATTATTTATTCCTTCTTGGATAGCTTCCATCCAAATAAAACAGTACTCAATGACCCAATCATTAAAAATTTATCAGTGTTACCATTTATAAACGTAATCTATATAAAAGGTTACTTTGAGACCCACAAATCATGCCCTAATAAAGGCCTAAAACATAATAGGTACTCAACAAATGCAAGATAATAACATTATCTTCAGTGTATAATTTTTAACACTATAAACAATTTTTTAAAAGATATATTATATGCTGTATTCCATTTTGCTGTCTTTCTACGGTTCCTTAAATTGGTGTATCAAATTTAACTATAGTTCTAATCCAGATGGATGGGATCAAATAAATTAAAAAATGAAATGTTGATTTTAAAATCTGTTAATAAATCATTCTTACTAGATAATGAGCAATTTCATTTACAAAGCTATCTTATATTTTAAGAAAACTCAACACATGGGACCAGTAGATGGCAAAATTGTCAACGTCACTGGACTCTCATATAGTCAACTGCAGTTTGAGTCCAGGAGCCAGAGGCTTTAAACTCACACTTACCACATGTGTGTGCGTGCATGCTCAGAATCTTGAGAAGAGAATGGAGAAGTCACTGCAGCATGGCCATCCCTGGTGGGGGGCGGGGGGGAGTGATTTCTCACTTTCTGTCTCTTTCTGTCCCTCTATGAGCACAAGCACTCTATAGCAAAAAAAAAAAAAAAAAAAAACTCTCTCAAAAAAAGCAAGCAAGCTCAACACATGAAAAATCCCAATTTACAAAATGAATGTCTGGGAATATGTCACCTTACAAGTGAATTTGCCATGATCTTACATATTCACTTACAAGTCTCTGTAGACTAGGGAGGAGAGGGAAAAACTGAGTTGAAATGTTAGAATCCAACATGCAAGAAAGAAAAATAAAGCAGCTCTGAGATAAGAATGTAAGCAACAGAGATTCTATCTAGGAAAATTGAACCAATGTACAACTTTTTTTTTTTTTTTTGGAGAGGTTTTTGCTATAGAGCGCGTGCGCTCGCCAGACAGAGAGAGACATAGAGACAGAAAGCAGGAAATCACCCCCCAGGGGGGGTGGTCACGCCACAATCCCTTCTCCTCCATTCTCCTCTCGGGATCTTAGGCAAGCACGCATACGCGCCTGGTGTGAGTTTTAAGCCACCGGCTCCGGGACTTGAACCGCGGTCGACTACGTGGGAGTCCAGCGACATAGCTATTACACTAACTGCTGGTTCCCATGTACAACTTTTGAGAAAGATAACTCTAAACACCCCAATGACAGTTTTGATTCACAGAATCACATGATCAGTCAGCCATGACAAATCACTAGAGCACCCCAACCATGCCTTAATATTGCCCGTGTCTCTGAGTTCCTAAGCAAGCTCTCTTCTTTTCATTTCCATCTGGTTAGTATGCTTCTTATACGTAAGATGACAGTTCACATATCATCCCCTTCATATCCCTTAATTCTGTCTTCCCTCCACAGCAACACAGAATAAATCTCTTGCAAAGGAAAGTACAAAGTACTATGCAGTGGTAAGGAAGGGGAAGAAATCCTTTTTCCTGGATCAGAAGATACCTAATTGCTGTGGTGGGAAGTTGCAAGGGGAATTACCAAGAGAATTAAAATCTTGCAAAGGATGAATAAAAAAAAAAAAAAAAAAGACTATTTTTATCTTTAAAAAGTACAAGCAATTAGAAAAGGAATAATTCATACTTTGCACTACTTTCACACTGTCTTCCTAATTTCTCAATGTTTAGTGCTGGCACTAAGCCCTTAGCATACAATAATAGCAAAATAAATATTTAGTAAAGAAATGTGCTGGCTTGGAAAAGCAAAAGAGTAAATGAAACTTCCAAAAGAAGAGTGTTTCTTGAAACTTATTTTGCAGGCTAACATGTAAAAAATAAAAGTATAATTATTTTCAGATTAATTTTACAAATACCATGACAGCTCAGATAACAGATTTTGTTTACTGAAACAGATAAGACGTTGAAATAAATTTTATTTTTTGATGAATTTTAAAAATAAACATGAAGCAACTTTTCTAAAATCTCATCTAAAACAAAAATTCTTAAACCAGATGCAATGGTTTGTTTTCTGTGTGTCAAATAAGAGTGTCAAAAAGAAAACCAATTATACTAAAATTCAGTTCTAACCACAGACTACTGCTTGAATCATGGACCTTTAGTTTAAAAAAATTTGATAGAAGATATGCGTTAACTTGGAAAGCACAGAACAGATTTATTTTTGGTCTAAATATTTTATGTACGTAATGTAGCTTGAGTATTCCTACTATTAATTTACAAAACTCTGGGGCCAGCAGGTAGCAGTTGAGGGTGCTGAACTCTCATATGGCCAACCATGGTTGGAGTCCCAGATCTGGAGACTTGCTTTCTCATTTTCCCTCTTTTTCTCCCTCTCTGGTCAACTAAAATAAATAAATGAAGTTAAATAAAATAATTCTTTAAAAAAACCCTCATAATAACATGCCAAGATTAGGATATTATAAAAAGTTGAAATAAGTTGGTAATTTTATCCAAGTTGAACAGGCTGCATCCAATTCTTGTTCCTAATAGGTACATACACTATAATGTAACCCTTTCTAAAATCATTTCATCAGTACAAAACTAATGATAATATGCTAATGCTACATTTGTAGCATTTTCAATTTCTATTTAACTCTTCAAACATTATATAAAATGAGCACACTTCCTTGAAACAAGAACTTTGGGCATGAGGGGGACTAAAAGGACAATCTTGTTGGCCTTGGCATAACGTAACTAGGACACTTGGGACAGTGTGTTCAAAATCCATCTAGATACAATATATGAGCCACCTCACTTTCTATAGGTTAAGAATTTAGAAATGCCTTATAGTTAAAGCTGTCAAATAACAGACTCTGCTAAGTATTTTGATAACTAAACATCTTTGTAAGATAGCTTAATCTACCACTTTGCAACGCTCAAATATATATTTGGAAAGTTGTAGAGCAAAGCAGTCTCCTCCAGACCAGTAGGTGAACATATTATTTTCCCTGCTGAAACTATTGGAAGGGGGTATGGTGAGTGAGCCAAGTAGTTCCAGCAGAAAAAATAAATCTGATTTTGGCTTGGAAAAGTACACACCACTTTAAAATAGGTAAGCGTTTTCATTTTTTTAAGTTCTGTCTTGCTGCAGTCAACTTCTAAACCATATGGTACTAAAATTGTATTTCTTGATACTACTCAGTTTAAAATAAACATTCGCCACTGAACAACACAGACTATCTTCAATCGCAACACATACTGAAATCAGAAGAGTATTGTTATTTTTTCTCTTTGAGGAAAATAAAGTGGGTAGAAAAATGTATATGCCACATTAAAATAGTTATCTTTCTAAACCTTTTTGTATCTTTTAGGAAAATGATACCTAATATCAGTGGATTGATTAGTAGTGTGGTCTCATAAACTGTAACACTACATCTTTAAAAAAAATTTTTTTAAAGTCACAGGGAAAAGAAAAGGCCTGTTCTTGATCCCTAATTTTTTACATTTTTAGGAAACTGCTCATAATTACCAGTTTTATGAACAAATTTAAGTAAATTGCTTTCATGGTTTATCATTACTAATGATGGACCTAAACAAATTGTTGAAAGGACTTCATTTTAAAGCCTTGAAAATGTAAAACTAAACCTTGTCTTTCACACTATAATTAACTCCTAACAAGAGTGAGTTGTCTCTTTGGAATTCTTATGACAACAGCAAAAATGTCACATATTACTTTTGCTGAATAATTTTTTTTTTCTTTTTAGTTGTTGTTTGCTTTCAATTTCTTTTAAATAGAATGAAGAACCTTTGTCTAACTACCATAGAACTGAACAGCAATAAAACTACCATGCTATCAATTTAACTAGAAATTCATTTCCATCACAATTTTATGTTAGCAACTTGCTATTTCTTTTAAGTAGTAGAAATTAGCAAGCCTTTTTTAAAAAAAAAAATTAATTACAAACGAATGAGGTACTAATCACAAAGAACTTCCTAAGTTTACTGTTAAACATACTTCTGAAATTTACACTTCAAAAGATAGCCTTGAAAAATTCCTTGCAAAAATATGTATTTTTTTTCTCCAGATAAGGCACATTGGGCAAAATGTGCTAACAGATAAAGCCTTGTAGGACATTTTGCAAGTACTAATCAGACTTTGCATTGAGAAAGAAAACCTGGTAGCGGGATAACAAAAACAGGACGAGCTCAGATTGCAGGCTTTAACAACTCTCCCTATTACACCTGTGCAAGTACTTCCTGTTCTCCTGCGCTGTTTAAAAGTAGTTTGGTAAATGTCCCATAAGCTGCAGTTTAGAAGCTAAATATTAACTTTATATATCATGACTACCACCGAGAAAACACCAGCCCCGAGATCCTCACGAATACAATCTTCATTTTCCAAGGAAGGAACACAACCATCCTGGATCCCTTTAAAAAGCTCTGTGTCCAGAAGAAGCAGGCGTTTAAGTAAGCTTAATATTCAAAACCCCGATGCGCTAAGAGACCCCTCCCCCGCCTCCCCAAAGCAGGACTCCGGAGTCAGCCCGGTCCCCGCCCTCACATCAGCAGCAATAACAACCACGACCCAGTGTGTCCAGCAGCTCCTCCCGCCCTGCGCGCGCCTCCAGCCTGGCCCGGGGCATTTCGGCCAGGACTGGGATCGGCAGGAAGGGTGCGAAGGGCTGCGTGACAACGGGCACTAGAGCTGCCCAGCAAAAAGCCTAGAGTCTGCCCCGAAAGCAAAGGGTTAGGGAGGTCGCGGAGCTGCGATGAAAGAAACGTCCGGGGCTGGAATGGGTGTCCCAATCAGGCCCTAGGGGTGGTTGGATCTCCACCAGGGGATAGTTTTGGAGACTTACCTTGAGCTCTGCCCTCCCCGCGCGAGGAGTGTGCGGTCCAGGTAGAGAACTCCGGGCCTTTTCCTCCCACAGGCTACCTCTTGCTGGCCCAGCTCCGCCTCACGCTGACACCCGACCCACACACGGACAGCTGCCACCTCGCAGTTCCGCGGGGAACTGGAGCAGGAGCGGCCGGCCTCCGCCGCCCAGAGCACGACCCTGTGCGCGGAGCATGCGCACAAGCACCAGTGCCCGGAGCCCAGTCAGGGCAGTGACACCTGCGAGCCACAGGTCCCTGGGCCCCGCCCCTCTCTCCGCCTCGAGCCCCCGCCCCCTCGGC